TTTTTTTTTTTTTTTTGGACCAAGGAAATCTTCAGGCTTGCCCCTGCCACAGTGCATACATTAGTCTGGTTGCTTCTTGCTTTCTCCCGTGACAAGATGTTCTAGTTTGATCTTGTTCATTTTCTTTCTCAGACCTATAATGAAATATTTCTCCAAAGAGCAGTGGGCTTTTATTGAAAGTGTGATTAGACCATACAGTCTGGGTGGGAACATCTGTTAATAGTTCTAGATTAGCGGGCTGATTAGAAAAACAGAACAGGATGGGGGGAGCATTGAATGTAGGATTGGCTGACTAAAAGGAAGCTTTTCTTCATAATCAGTAGTTAATTGGTTCAATAAATGAAGTAATCATGTGAGAGTAGATCTTGGATGAGCATTTAGAAGTCATAGCCTCATCTTGAGAGAATGGGTTGAATTTCAATAGGAGCAGATCAATTGTCCAAACCATGCAAGTGACAGCTTTATAGTGGTGAATGAAAATGCATACAGAAAGTTACTATTTGGTTTTGACTTTTAGATATATAGTCCTGCATCCATTAACATGGGATTATGTTCTGAGAAATCCCATTGTTGGTCGGTTTTATTGCTGTGTGGACATCAGTACTTAGACAAACGTAAATACCATAGTCTACTACACACTAGGCCGAATGCAACAGACTTGCTCAGCATGTTACCGTATTGAATACTGTAGGCACTTGTAACATTGGTATTTGGGTGTCTAGACATGGAAAAGGTACGGTCATGATACTGTTTAAAAAATATAAAAGTGACAGACCTGTGTAAGAAAAACAAGGGGGCAGAGGATGGGTGTGCTGCTAATTTATGGGCACAATGTTAAGGTGTATGGCACACCTTAGGAACAAGACAGTTATAAGAGGGACTGTACCTAACATGCGAACAATTGTAACCTAATTCTTTGTGCCCTCAAACCTGAAACAAAAAGAAAAAGTGGTACAACATCAATTTTTTCCCCTTATTGATCTTGGCTTACTAAATTTTTTTTACTTTATAAACTTAAATTTTTAAACTTTGTGTAAACTTTTATCTAGTTTTTTTTTTTTTAATCATGTCTTTTTTTTTTTTTTTCCTCCGTTTCTGGCCAGGGCTGTGTTTGAACCTGCCACCTCCGGCATATGGGGCCAGCACCCTACTCCTATGAGCCACAGGCACCACCCAGCTTTTATCTAGTTTTAAAATTTTCTTTTTTACCTTTTAAAAACGTGTTTAGAAACCAAGACACAACACATCAACCTGGGCCTTCATGGGGTCAAAAATAAGGAATATACTAATGATAGAAATGTAGTAAATTAAAAAAAACAGTAATTTACTACCATTGCTAAGTGTTACATGTTGTACATAATTAGATGTGCTATACTTTTAAATATGACAGTGCAGTAGGGTTTAACACAATCACAAACACGAATAACTCACTGTACTAGGACTTTATGATTTCACAGCAATAGGAATTTTCAGGTCCCTTATCTATAATCCATATTGTTGTCAGTCCATTGTTGATTAAACAAGTCAACACATGATTATAGCATAGTATAGGATATGGGGCTTTTATTTGAAGTTCAAGAAAAAGGTTAAGTTTTTAAACCAAGCCTATTAAAGAGAGTGTACTATGGAAATAGTTAATTAAGGTTATTTCATAAAGTTGTAAGGCTACCTTCAGCCAGTTATTTACCAAAGAGCCAGTTGCTCCCTGACTCAGGCTTGGCGGTAGAGATCTCTTGTTGATATGCTAAGAAAGTTTAAAGAGCTGGCTTTGAGAAAACTTTAGAAAACTCATTTGTGCGAAGGGTTTTTTTTTTTTTTTTGAGACAGTCTTACTTTGGCGCCTTTGTGGCACCTTTGTGACAGCAACCTCAAACTTATGGGCTAAAGTGATCTTTTGCAAGTAGCTGGGACTAAAGGCACCTGCCACAACTCCCAGCTTATTTAAAGGGTCTACTTCAGGTGTCCTCAAACTACAGCCCATTGGCCACATGCAGCCTGCCTAGGACATGCATCTGGCCCACTGGGTGTGTTTGCCACCGCTGTCTGTCCTGCTTAGCAGCTGACTCATCCCGGGGCCCGCAGTCCGCTCCTCCAATGGTCTGAGGGACAGTGAACTGGCCCCCTGTTTAAAAAGTTTGAGGACCCCTGGCACTTATTAAAGCCTGATATTAAAGATGCTGCTGCTTGCAGCTGCATTTGTCTTAGGTTTTTAGACTGAATGTTCATTTTTGTCTCCACAATATTTGTATTCCTTAGTCTTTTTAGTTAAGAATGGGGAGAAGTGGAAGTAAGTGTCAAGTAGTGCTATTTTACTTTCACATGGAAAAGGGGACAATACTTTAAATGAATACTGTGTCCCAGATAAAGTTCTAGGTGTTTTTGGGTTAGTCAATAAGAAAAACACTTAAATGCTCTGGAATGTTACTAGTTAAATTCTTGACTTCAGAAAATCGAGTTTACTAGCCTGGAGCTGAATGAAGCAACCCTAAAACTAGCACAAGACCACTTATCTAAGGTACTATATTTGTGGATGGGTGGGTAGTAGCCTTCTCAGCAGCCTCCTTTTTTCTTTTCTTTTGAGACAGAATTTCAGTCTCCTTAATACCACTGTTGCACTATTCCACTTCATTCTAACAGCTGCAATAAGCTTTTATTTCATTTTGGAGACAGTCTTACTCTGTCACCCTGGGTACAGTGCAGTAGCATCATAACTTACAGCAACCTCAAACTCCCAGGCTCCAGCAATCCTCTTACCTCAGTCTCCTGAGAGCTGGGGGCTACAGGCGCTTGCCATGATACCTGGCTAGATCTGTTTTTTTTTTTTTTTTTGGTAGAGATGGAGTCATGCTTAAAACACTGGTCTTAAAACACTGAGCTCAAGCAGTCCACTGGTTCAGCCTCTCAGAATGTTAGGGTTACAGGCTTGAGCCACTGCACAGCCTGCAGTAAGCTTTTAACAACAAACTGGATTTTTAACTTAACGTTCTTGGTGGGACAAATTGCCATACATGTTGTGGTATATCCATACTAATAAATAGTACTTAGCAATAAAAAGGAAAGACTACTGGTAAGTGGCAACAGCTGTGAATCTCAACACTGAGTCAGAAAGCATACCACATGGTTCTGTTTATATGAAATTGAGAAGAAACTAGCCTCAGCAGATTACTAGTTGCTTGGGACCAGTAATTGGGGATGGTGAGGTTACCTGAGAAGAGGTGATGTTTGTACATAAATTTGTCAAGACTGCACACTTAAAATGGATGCACTGCAAAATTGTGTGTAAGTAGTACTTTAAAAGCTATTGATGGCTACTCATTTTCCTATGACGGCCTGCCCATAAGTCATAATCATGAAAATTACCTGTGTTCACCCTAATCTCTTGCCACTTGGCCTGGCTAACCCTGCCAGTCATCTAGCTTTTTCTCACTGTAGTCACTTAACATCTTTTGCCTGGAATATTCCTTTGGGTTTTTGCCTAAGTGTTACCAAAAGGCCTGACCACGACGACATTTCCCTGCTGCTCATCATCTCATGCCATTGGTTTCTCTCAATTGACTAAGTAGCATTTGTTGCTTGGCCTACTTGCTTATTGCTCATCTTCCGTAGTAAAAGCAAAGTGTGTTTTCAGTACAGGGACCTTGTCTGTCTTTAGCGAGGGCATGACAACATGATAGGATTTCAGTAAATAGTGACTGTATGAATTGGTAAGAGGTGGCTACCAAATCAGTGACACATTAAGTGCTGTACAAATGTCAAATCCAGATAAAACCCATTTAAGATACATGCATATAGTAAATCATTGGGATAAATAGGTATATGAAACTTGGTTTGGGGGAGTGAATGGTGGGCAAAAGGAATGGTGTATAAAATGACTGGAGTTGGAGTCAAAAGATTCTGGTTAAACACCTCTTTACCTGTAAGTTGGGAATGATTGCTCCTCCCCAGTTCATGAAATTGTGAAGAAAAGAAAATTCCAAAACCATAATTATTATCAGCTAAAATGTTCGTCTCTTTCGTTATGTTCCACACTCTGAATGATCTGATGCACTATTCACAACAACTCTGAGAGTTGTTAATGTTCTTAGCCATATTTTGTAGATGAGGAATCAAGAGTCTCAGACTGTTGCTTGCTGGAATTTATAAATGTTGGAGGCAATATTCAAATCCAGGGCCTTTGACTCTTGAGTTTGTGCTCTTAGAACTGTTTTCATGAATGGACTTTTTGGTACATCTTATTTGTGTGATAGGTGAGATTGACAAATTATACTTCCGAGCACTGAAAGAGATTCCAGCATTTTAGATAGGACATAGTTTGTGCTCATTCCATTCACAAGTAATAGAAAATAGTGACAGTATAGAAAACTGGAAGTATGATTCCTAGCCAGGAGATACTTTAAATACTTGTTGGCAGGAGGCAAGTCAAAATACCTCTTGACTGGGTCTTAAAGGTCTTCAGGTAAAGCAAGATCAGAGGTGGTAGCAATGACTCAGGACCCAGTGGGGAGCATTTCTGTCCATTTGTATTTGTGGCCGGTCATTGCATCCATGGAATTGGTTCATTTTCTCCAGAACTTGGGAAATTACCATTACCTAAGACTCTGGCAATCAGAATGTCTGAAAATTCAGCCCAGCAGCTACATGCAAGACCTTACCCCCATCACTCAACACCTGGTTTTGAGAAGGTTTTCTGCACTTGTGTCCAATGCTGAAACATAGGCTGCTTAAAATAGCCTTGGCTTTGAAAGGGAACTTAAAATAGCTTTCAGAGAAGCCTGATTGGAACTGTTTTATATCCTATGACTTTAGGAAATGGCACTGTTAAACAGCACCTACCTCAATATATGCTGTAGTAAAATCAGAGTATCAAACATAGTCGATCCAAGGAGACTTTTAATCACATAGTCTGGATTCCTGGATTTTGTTTTTTTGAGCTCGTCCTCCAGTGCCATTCCCACTGTAACCTGTTTCCCTTATCTTTAGGCCAAAGCAGAGCTTGGTGGATGCGGGCTGTAGCCAGTGTGAGGCAGATGGCCTGACAAGGAACATTTGGGGTCGGTAGAAACGACAAGTGTAATGCCTCTGGAAGGGGCAAAGATGGTAAGAACCAGTGTCCTGAGAGGAGCCTTGGTAAAAGGAACCAGGCTGCTTAGCATGCAAACGGAGACAAATTGTAGCCCGGTTTTTGGTAGGAGGGCGAAAGAGGGCTTAGAGTGGTCGCTGACCAGAGTCCTGCTTGGATACTTACTGCCCGCCTTGTAGCGCGCCCGCGCAGCGGTTGCAGCGCCGCCTCAGAGCCGCTAGGTGGTAGCCGTGTGTTTCCAAAGCTGGGTCGCCTACTGGAAAGCCCATCTAGGATCCCAAGAGTCGACCCCGACCTCGGAGTCCCTCGGGTGGGAGGTAGAGACGCCCCAGAGACCCCACCTCCCGGTGGCAGGCACAGAAAAAGAGGAAGAGGGCTCACTTAGAGTGGCCAGCCCACCAAACGGGTGGCTTGGAAACCCCACGATCTTGCGTGGACTCAGGGCGGGTAAAAGCGACTCCCTTAAGTGGAGCTGCCTGGAGGGCTGAGCCCGCCCCGCCCCCTCCCTGCTCCCCACTCAAATGTTGGATGTGAGAGAGTGGGAGTAGTGAATGTGGGCGGGTGAGGACGCTTCGCACCTAACTGCGTTCTTAGGAACCACTGCCTTCCCAATTTGGGCAACGTTTGCGCTGCGGCGCAGGTCCCTGCGCCCGGGCACACTGCTCCGACGGCTTCTAGTGCTCACCAGCTCCTGCCACGCGGGTTCTGCCCCTTCGGAGCTGCCGGTCACGTCGCCGGGAGTCTGAGCACCTCCCCTACAACCCGGAGTCGCCTGGAGGAGGAGGAGGAGGCAACGAAAGGCCGCGGCAGGCAGGCGAGCAGGCAGGGCCGCCTTTGATGTGGGCGCGGCGCACCCAGGCGAGCTGAGCGCCCGTCCGGCCGCGCCCCGAGGGGGGAGCCCCCGGGCCCCGCATCCTCATTGTGCTGACTCCGGCCCGGGCCCGCCCCCGGCCCCCCGCCCCCTCGCCGCCCGCGCGTAGAAAACGCCCCGGCCGCCGCCAGTGGTGGGAGGCGGCGATGCGCACGGCCGGAGAGACGCGGAGGAGGAGACATGAGCCGGCGGGCGCCCAGACGGAGCGGCCGTGACGCGTTCGCGCTGCAGCCGCTTGCCCCAGCCCCAGAACGCTGACCCCTGGCCCTGCGCAGCCCCAAGCCCCAGCCAGAAAGCGTAGCCTAGCTTCCAGCCCCGCCACGCATGCTGCCACCAGAGTGACCCGGACAGCCAGCTTC